TGAAGTGCAGGATATCAAGTGTAGTACCGAAGATATTTAATTTCGGTCATCCACAACCCTTCTCAGTGAATGGAAGCGAGGACAGAAATTTGGGAACCTAGCAACCCACGTGAGACACCAGATTGCTGCCTCCCAGTGTCAGCAGATGCTGGCTTCCAAGAGGAAGCATCAGCTTTTACACCAGTGCCAACGAAGTTGCTTCTTCACAGGCAAGTGGGCATTTGCCTCATTTTCTCCCCTGATACTTGCCTCCAAGAAGTGGCCACAAACCCTCATGAAGGGCCCTTTATGCCCTCACAGGAGGCCACGGAGCAAACAGGATCTGCCACAAGGATCGGGCTGCAGAATCAAGGCTTGCTTTGTCTCTCCACAACCTTTTTTTTTTTTTTTTTAAAAGTTTGTTTTCCTCCTTTAGAAGAACTGCTTGTTCGCAAGTCAGGAGCTCCGCGGCTATCAGCGAGGAATCTGATCCCCCACGCCAACAGCCCGGGGATCCAGGCCCTCTGACCGCAGCTAACAGGAGGGCTGGTAATTGCTTTGTACAGCAAGATAATCCGGGTTCGGGTTACCTGGTGGAAAACTTGGAGTAAAGAACCGTATCTTTTAGGTGCACGTGCTCTCTTAACCTGGGAAGGAGAGAATTACCTGCACAGCTGTACCTCACCCTCCTGGTGTGGTTACCTCACACACAGCTCAGAGATTTCAGGCAGGTTTTAGGAAGAATTTACGAGGAAGCGTTGAGAAGCACAGAGTGGTTCTCACCTTCAACAAGACCCCCAAAAGGATTTATTCAAAGAACGCTCTCACCTCAGACTTGCATGGAAAAACACGAAGAGCTCCCTCATTAATCTACCTGTGGACAGCACTTACAGAGCAACCCCACACCCACCACATCCCTCCCCGACCCCTTCTCATCGCTGCAGGAGACCGTCCCTCCTCCCGGCGTAACAAGGAACTGCCTGGGACGTTTACCCTTGGCAGCAGCTCCAAGGGAGCCAAGCCTGACGCTGGCACCGATGAAAATAGCAACCACGGAGGCACTCAGGGCGCTCACTATGACACCGCAAACATTTGTTTGACTGCCAGCTGAATGAGGTCCATCCGAGCCCAGGGAAAGATATACAGGGGCAATAAAGAAGTCAGCACTGGCGCTGCTCAAGGACTTTCAAGATAAGTGGTCGCTCCAATATCCCCTCACAGTGGTTGTTCACACTCCGGTCCCTTCCGCTCGCATCTGGCTGATGGGAATAAATGCATCCCCTCGAGCACAGTCTAGTGGTCACACAGAAGGATCCCACAGAAGCTCCTTTCAAAAGCCCGTTCCCACAAGCCCTGTGATTTCTTCCTATCCCACACTTACAGTCCAGGAAAACAGGAAATGCAGAATCAAAACTGCAATGTACTGAAAGGCACAAAGAAATAAATAAATAAAGCTTTACAGGCCGCACTGCACCCAAGGGACTTTGCCTCAAATAGATATATAGGTCCAAAATTAAAGACCAAATTCAGCCCGTTTTGATCAGGGCTTCGTGTATTTCAGCAGAACTACACAGACATGTAGGCTAATGCTGGCCTAGAAGTCAACTTGTAAGTGCTTATGCAGGTATGATTTTTAACAGAAAAGCCAAGAAACCCAACATTTCACCTATCCAAGAAAAAATGGACTGTCATTCCTTATTGAGAGACTAATTTAAGGCTCTTTAAAGCAAAAATTTGCCTGTTTGGGGAAACCTTGATACCTGCAAACTGTGCCTGAATGACCCCAGCCATGCGACACTTTGCCTTTCAGAGCTGAGAAGTCCAGGAGACCAAGGCACGCTGTTAATAACCACCCAAAAGCAAGCTGCTTCTCTTTCTTTTCCCCACCTCTCCAAAAGGTCTGATAAAACATCAGCGAACCTTGACCTCAAACACCACTTTCCAGGCAGTTTGCTACAGGAAAGTACCACGGATCTTCGGGACAGAGCTGAAACTTCCTTTTACAGCCTGCCTCCCCCTCCTTTGGTGTTGCAGCAGTTGAAGCAGCTCCTCATCTAGAAAAACCTGGCGCACAAGCAGCACGCTATGAAGATAGTACAAAGGCAAACAAACTGAAGGGGAAATACCTTAATCATAAGGCACGCTTACTGCATTTTCCATCTCTGCCTTGAATGGCTTAACCTGAAATAACAGAATTTGCAGGTTTACTTCATCTGTTTCCAAGCACGCCTGACGTTGCACAGCAAACCAAGAACCATGAGAACAATCTGGAGCTTCCAACTTCTGTAGTGATTGCACTTTCTATCCCAGAGTCAAACGGTTTGCTATCGAGCATTACAAGCACAAACTTTGCTCTGTGCGGTTCAGTTTAGCTTTGCATGCAATTTTTGCAACTACAGCTTGTAGTTTTTTTGATACCTAATATCATCTCAAAGCAAACAAGTCCCTTCTGAAAGCGTACACCCTGAATTATTTCAGAACTCAGCAAAACATTACTGCCTTGCAGGATGGCGAAGCAGCAAAGCTCAGGCAGTAACACAAATCTGTTGAGCACGTCCCTGCTGGCTGCTTGCTGAGCCCAAGGAAGGGCCTGCTCTCCTCAGCACATGGTAAAGCTCCATTCTGAAAGTGAAATGCATCAAGCTGGCCTCCAGAGACAACCAAATATTTGAGTTTCACAGACACGTGAAGCACCTGTAGGATCAAAGTTTTGTTTATCAGCGCACTACGTCAATCAAATCAACTGCAAGCGGCACGGGGATTTCACCCTAGGAGCCTCAAAGCAGAATTTCTGACCTCACCATAAGCTCTCAGGCACCGCTTTTACACCACGTTGCAATATGAGGGGTAGGGAAATATCACGCTGCTTGCTTGCATGCCCTAGGTCTGCCTCTCCCCAGCAAAATCGCGATGCTTAAATTAGCAATACGGAGCCCTCCTTGATCAAGGGGCATCAACAGCTTGATGTTGACTTGGGGAGGGGAAAAAAAAGTCTTGAGAATTACACAAAAGCAACGCCTGACGCAGCAGACCCTTTGTTGCAGATACCGATCTGCTACAGCAGGGATTTAGCAAGTCACTCCCGTGCTTCCCGCTGGCAGGAAAGCGCCAGCACCTGGGCACCTTTGCACTGCCCCGCGAAACGCAGCCAGCGCCGAAGCAAAGGCTCAGGCTCGCTGCCCGGGCTCCCAGCGCACGTGATTACCTCCTGCACTCCACACAAATGCACTGGCGTGGAGTATTTGGTCCAGGTAAACACGCAGCGTGCTCCACCAAACGCCAAACTGGGCTCCTCTGCTTTTGTATCCTACCCAGGGCGGGTTTATCCCAGTGAGCCGGGGGCGTTGCGATCGTAGGGCAGCACCTGATCCTGAGGCCAAGGCACCTCGCAGCGCAGCGCAAGGGAAAAAAGACCTGCAGGAGCTCTCCGTGATTAGCAAAGCAGGGAAACTCCGTGTTAATTCGGTTCCTAATGGTTTTGGGGAATCCTGAAGAGAGCAGGATTTGACAGCACTTGCAGCTGAAGACCTCCACCCACAAGGCAAAGATGCTGCTAACATCACCCCCCAGAAACGCTTCTCCAAAACCAGCGCTGTCCCCCTCCCCTTCCCATCTCCCTCAGCCCTTCAAGGAGGGAACATTTCGGCTCCCACGGTACCGATGCACCCCCGGAGACCCCCGCAAGCCCCATACCGGGGTGAGCCCGCTGCTGGCTGGGCTTTGCTGGGCTCCTAACACGGGAGGGGCGCACCCAGCCCCCCCAGAGGGGCAGCACCAAACCCCACAGAGCCGCCCCGTGTGGGTGCCTTTTGGGGACGAGGCTCCAAAACCCATTTTTTTTGGGGGGTGTGGGGACGGCCCGGCAGGGAAGCGGGGCTGGAGGGTGAGGGGGGGGGGGCGCCCCCTGCCCGCTCTGTGCCCGACCCCGGGGGGACCAGGGGGGTCCCGGGGGGGTACGGGGAGGGGGCTCCCGGCCCCGTCCGTGACCCGGCGGCGAACAAAGCCGGGTGTGTGCCGGGGAGCGGCGGCACATGGCGGCAGCAGCCATGCTGCCTCCCGCCCGGGAGGGAAGGGAGAAAGGGAAGGAAAGAAGGAAGGAATGCCGGACAGCAGGAATGAGGGAGGGGAGGCGGCGGAGCTACCCACCTGCTCGCGGAGCTTGAGGAACACCATGGCGATGGCGACCCCGCCGCACCGACCGCCGCCTGCCCGCCCGCCCGCAGCCGCCTCAGCGCCGCGCCCCGCCCAGCGCGGCCCCGCCCCCTCCGCGCCCGCCCGCCCGCCACTGCCGGGCTCCCGCCAGGAGCGGGGAGGGATAAGGGAGGGGGGGGGGAAGGAGGCACCGCCCCCCCCGCTCGCGGCAGCACTCGCCCGCCGGCTTCAAAGGAGCCCGGCCCCGGCCCGGCCGGCGCCACCAAGGGGGGCGCTGATTGGGCAAGAGGAGGCGGGGAGGAGTAAAGTCGGCGCTGATTGGAGGGGAGGGAGAGGCGGGAGGGAGGGCGGTGAGGGGAGGGTGGGCTGGGGGCGTGAGGGGCGCAGCCCCGCGCCCACCATTTTGGGGGGAGGGTGGGGCGGGGCGGGTCCGGGGACAGGGGGTGCGCTGGGGTCAGGCAGGCCCGAAGGGAGGGAGGGAAGCAGCAGGGAAGCTGCCACAGGGTCTGCCACAGCACCAAGCACTGGTCCAGCCGTCCCCTGCCAGCAGTGTCACCACCGAGCCGTGTCCCCAAGCACCACGTCCAACCTTTCCCTAAACACCCCCAGGGACAGGGACTCCACCACCTCCCCAGGCAACCCGTCCCAGCGCCTGGCTGCTCCTTCTGAGGAGAAATGTCTCCTCATTGCCAGCCTGAGCCTCCCCTGGCACAACTCAAAGCCATTCCAGGGCAGCTCAGAGAGAGGCACGGCCAAATGACCAAAATGATGAGCTGCAGTGGCCATGTACAAATAACAAAGTACAAAAGAAAACCAATTCTGAAGGTTTTTTCCACTATATTTGAACCCTGTATATTTGCAGAGGACCAGTGAGGGTGTCACCTGCTTAATTCTTGTATTTAATTTCAAGAAGTAATTTACAGGCTTGCAGGTAGGCCTCTGCACATCAAGCACAAAGAGCATTGCCATAGACAGGGCTGCATAAAACCTCCAGCGAAAAGAATGAAAAGCAGCACAAGGGGCACTGAGAGGAGAAGTGCTGATCCTCCAGAAAACAACGCTGCAGCCAGCCAGCCCTGCCTGATAACTTGTGGTTTGGAAGGGTTGGTTTCTCCCGAAATGTGATTTTTCCCCTCCTTCCTCGCCCCCAAAGAAAAACAGACCGAAGAGACAGGGGGTTTTTGGAACTGCGCATTGCTAAAGACAACACTGATGGGAATACTTGTGGTTTCTTGACTTTCCTGTAGCTTCAGAATTACAGAACCACAACTTCTGAGCCCTCCACGTGTAGTGAAATCTACTTGAAGACTTCAGTATTACCTTAAGAAGAAACAAAGAAAGGTTAATAAAGCAGCCACGTGTACTCTGTGGAACACTTGTGTGTGTATTTTTGCCCTCACCCATGCTCTTGCTGTTGATTCCAGTAGGAGTCGGGAACATGAACATATTCTCTTGGTGACTGGCAACATTGGAAGAACAGAAGGGTTTTCTGTAGGTGCTAGCAAAGACAGATCTTCCTTTATCTTTGAGTATGAGTAGCTTGATGGGGTGTGCTTGTTTATGTCATTTGATTTTAACCAGTTAAGATTGCAGTCCTATTTCACCAGGCAAAGGAAAAAAAATCAACATTGTCACACTTTCTAAATCAAATTTGTTGACATCTAGATATGTCTAGAAATACTGATTAGCATAAGTAAATATTTTAGTTGATTCTAAATAGCTCTCTATTTTAGTACTTGGGCAATTTTTTGATTGTTTTTGAATAAAAGCATACTGTGTACAACTATGAAAGACGTAGGTTTTGACACTATGTAAAATGGTTGGGATGGCAAAGTGGTAAAGACACTGGTGGCTGTGGAAATTAGAGATAATTTTATCAGTACAGTCAGTGAAGGAGAAAATGACATCAGAAAACTTTGCCTGTCCCCATGTTTGACTGCGCTACTTTTCAAAGAGAAGAGAACGTCTGGGAGCTGATAAAGTTCCACTTCCTCCTGTGAAGCTTATCAGTTTACGGACTTGTTCAGGAGAAAAAAAAAAAATATAAAAAAAAATTACTTTCAGTTCACCTGGTAATTTCTACATGTAGGGAAGTCATCGTACATAAAAATGTGGCGCTTGTGCTTGCCAGGCCCTCCTGCAGCTCAGAGCCAAGGCACTGTTTCAGCAGCGGGAGGTGCACCTTTATGTTGCCCGGGCCCTAGCTGGGGAGCCGGCCTGCTGGTTTTATCGTATGTACTTAACCATGTCAGGAGCAAACTGAACTCTGACCCCAGATCATTGCAGCTTTCTGTGAGTAATAAGATAATACAGTATGAAAAAATTAAGTGCTAAAACATGGAAGTTACAATACAGATCGCGGAGATACTTGCCTGGTTCAGGGCAAGCACGGTGGCTATTGAGGTCGCTTATATACATAAAGGTGAATCACACAAAAGTGGAGGGGGGTTCCTGATATCAGTCAGTTGCATGTGAACACTTTTTTTTACAGGTCACAATATGAATTATTGTCCCATTATTATTCTGTGTAAAACAGTCCAAAGTGTTGTTACAACTTGAACAAAAATGCATAATATGATGCTATCATTAGCAATATTATCTGATCTGCCAGGGTGCCACAAAATACAGTGTTTCACTTAAGAGCAATAGGAATAATATAAATAAAAGCTCAGAAGTTAAATGCAACACTGCTGTAAGGAACTGAGTGCTTCTTGTTCATTTATTTCGGGGTAACTTCACCTACATTATGTGTAAATGCCCTGGTTTTACCTGTCACAGGGTCGGTAACTGCACAGGTGTCCCCTAGGAACATGAGCAGAGTGTTTCACAGCAGTCTGTTGGTACTGACACACAGACATGCTGAAAGCTGCGACGTTTCTGACAGGGTTCAGAACCCAAACCCGCAGAAGTTGGAAATTCCTACACCACCTTTTAAATTAGAAGGTTTGTAAATGATTAGCAGTGCAGCACTCCTGAGGGCACACTTTCAGCAGGGTGCAATAGGCTTCAGCTGCACGGCTCCCGTTAACGTTAATGTTAAATCGCCATGCTGTAACTTATCCCACGGTGTGTAACACTACCCAGTGTTTTAAAGATAGGACCATATGTGCGGTGCTGAAATACATAATGGGACCGACTTGCAGAGACCTCATACAGGAGATGTTTTGTAACTCACCCGAAACTCATTCATGATTTATTTAGTTTGTCAACAATGCCTGTATACAGAGCCCTTTTTAACCAAGGGTTTCAGCCCCAGCAAGGTTGGTGTTTATTATTTTTTTTGATTCTGCTGCATGGGTAAACAGGCACAGAGGTCGACAGACTTACACAAGGTCATGGAGTGAGTCAGTGCCACTGCTAGGAATAGAAGCCAGGAGCCCTGATTGTCACTACCCTCCTCCAACTGCTGTCCCATGCTCCTAAATCACAGCAGGGCTGGTTTTATTTTTTGCACATAATACGATGTGTCTGAAATCAATACAGTTTCGTAACTTCCTATGCAGGGCTGCATTATCTTTATGAATCAGCATTACTAGGGCGCTAGTCTTCTGATGGAAACCAAGCTCATTTTGTAACAATATACGAAGAACATCATCATGAGGGGTTTTACACATGCTCTCACACGTTTTATCCATCCAAATCTAAACCAGCCAAGGTTTTGTAATTCCGTTCCCAGAGATGAGGTTTTGAAGCACTGGCTGTTCACAGCTACAGATTGTAATGGAAAGATATTGAATATGGTAACGGCACCATCCATCAAATAGCATTGATTGGCATTGCTGAAGCTCCATTATGCTTATGGATGCTCACTCGACCAATTTCACCTCAGGTGGCTGCAGGGACAGGAGGAGAGGGAACCGGGGCACCTCTCTTACTCGGAGAATGTGTTTAATAACCAGAGGAGGGCAGGGCACACACGAGTGGCCTTGGCAGGATCAACATACAGCCGGGGCGGGCCCAGCAGCTGTAAGCTCCTATCAGTCACCTGTGCCAAGGAAAATTCAAATAAAAAGGAGAGAAAACAGAACATAAAGAATATAGAGGGTGAAGCTACAGTGGCAAGAAATTGCATCGTCACCTGCATGTTTTATGGGAAAAACGTGGGCTGTTTGACGGCCAGGCCTGATGTGCCCATATGCTGCCAAGTTACTCTTACTAGTAAAGAACAGGCTCAACAAAGGGATACATCTGGCTTTTACAGGGGTAGCTATTTGGCTTGAACTGGCATGCTACAAATCCTGTTTACATTTCTTGTTTAAATAGCAGGCAACTTCCCCCCCCCCCCCCCCCCCATAAAATTAAGTTTATCTTCTTCAGCAGGATAAAGGGACTTAAAAAGGCAACAGAAAGGTGTAAAGGACCCTAGGCCTGGGTCTAACTTTTACACAGAGATGAATTTTATCCCATATCTCCTTAAGATTTCTTTGTGTAGAAAGTCTCAAAACTGCCCAGACATTAATCAAAAGACTTTGTACACCATTAGGAATGGGATTACAAAAGACTAATTCTGATTAGTTGTGAAGCCGGAATGAATCAAATAACAAGTAAAGAAATAAATTTTATCTTTAAACTTAATTGAGACATGGAGATTAAAAAAATAAATAAATAAAAATCAGTAACATATTTCCTAGTACTTGTCATGTTCTGAGATGACTCCTTCAAACACTCTGAATATCAGCTCTCTAGACCCTCTTGTATCAAGTTACCTTTAATTAGTGCTTGGAGAAAATGAGAAAGGAGAGGAGAGGAGAGGAGAGGAGAGGAGAGGAGAGGAGAGGAGAGGAGAGGAGAGGAGAGGAGAGGAGAGGAGAGGAGAGGAGAGGAGAGGAGAGGAGAGGAGAGGAGAGGAGAGGAGAGGAGAGGAGAGGAGAGGAGAGGAGAGGAGAGATATAAAACATTAAAGTCAGACAAAACACATTTTTAAAATATTTCAGTAAATAACTCCAAATGTCCTTTTGCCATGTCAGTGTACCTCAGAATGGCCAGTAATGGCAAACTGGAAATTCCAGTGGGCTGTGATCTTGCAAATTATTTTTTCAGGCTTGGCCAGTTCTTTGAAGAGTAACACCCAAAGTGAGGCACCCAGTGAGAAGAGTTTTGGACAGTCATCCTGGCTAGCCAAAAGCTTGTACACCATAGAAGTCCCGATGAGAAGCTGCAAGTGCCCTGCTGCACAGGGATATTTAGTCAAATATGCATTTTACCAGTGCTCTAGCAAAGTATTAAAGGGAACTCTGTTGGAAATACTGATTTTCACGTAAGAAGCAAAATAGAGGTTCTGACTTCTGAACAAGAAGTTTCTGAACATCTGAACCCCCAGTTTTGATGATGGCTGACGTAATGCTAATATCCCAGCCAGGTGCTAATTTAGAGAAGAGAATTTCTGTGTACATAAATTTCATTTCCCGATGAGCTATAGATTCGCTATTGACTATATCCTGTGTTTTTGCTTTCAGAGTGGTTTGGTTTCAATTGTGGGCAAAATGATTCCAGCGTATAGTTTATATGTTTGGCTCTAAAGCACTTAAGTGGTCACCAGTGGGAGGGAAGTACGAAGAGTGAAGGAAAAGGCAATTTTTCAAAGAGCCAGAACCCCAGCTGAAATGAGCTAGTGTATACCTAAAATACAAGGTGAGCAGTCAGAAAGGAGGAGGGTTCTGGGTTCTGCTTTCACATGTTCCCCCTTGACAATCAATACTGCAGTAGTGGATGCCATGAAAATGGGGACAGTGTCCCCTGTGGTAAAGGAGGGTGAAGACGAAGAGCATTTTGTCTTACCGATATTTTGGTTGCTGCAGTAGTCAACTTTCTCAACTCTCATTGCCCTCAAGGCTGCAAATATCAAAATATGAACAAAAGTGCAACAGCTAGACACACGGATTCTCACCTACTGATTATTTATTGTATGTTACCATTTAATGTAAATGTCTGTTACACATATGAATGTGGTAATGCAGCTGCCTTGACACATACTGAGAACCTTAAGTAGAACTTCTGAGTTCATACAATACATACACAGGCCCCTTAACTATCACAGCAGAGAGCTTTTCATTGTCCAAATGCAGTGGAAGAATAGTCACTACACATCCATTGTGGAACAAGGATTCTATCATAGAGAATACCTGTCTTTAACATTTATTTTTTCTTGAAGTATGATTTTTTGAATACTTTGATGGTGTCTGCGAGCCTACAGCCCCGCAGATATGTATGTAAACGCTTCTCAGATAAATACTTTTATCATCTAAAGGAATAAAGTGCTTGAGGCAGAAGACAGGAGTCTCTGGGAAATACACTACTGTGATGAATATATTTGTCAACTGAGTGCCATAGAGATGAATTTCAGGGAAGATGAAAAGGGTTTTCATGACAGCAAAAAATTTGTAACTCAAAGAAGAGAAAATGAAGCAAACAGTTTGCATTTATCTCTGCATCTTAATAGACAGCCCTATTCCTGTTTTCATGATGTTGTCTTCATTCTCATTCTAAAGGATTTCCATTTGTATAAAATATTAAAAAGAAATGGAGTCGTACAGGTAACGCTTAGTACTCCTGTCAGGCGCAGCAGTTGCAGAGCCAGGCTAATATGTAGATATTTTAGTCTGAAGAGTTTCATTTGTACTGCTTCTAGTGCTGCTTTGGACCTGACAGTTGACATGCACAGAGAGAATGCATTAAAGCACCTAGAATTTTATTATTAATTATGATTTGATAAGTTGCCTCTCCCCACCCCTCCCTGGAACATATGCCTCGACAAATGAAATCAGAAAGGCGTTTCAGCTCTTTGATAGCTCGGCCTGCCACTACAGCACTGGAACCAGTGTTTGTTTTCTTTTAGTACGAGCAAAGACTGAGCCCTGAATGAGAGCAGGCTGCAGGCAGCGTGCTTTCTAGCGAGGATCCTTACTGCTGAGCGTGTTCTCTACCTCTTTGCCTGCCAGAGTCTGAGTTTCTTAACTTATAGATAGAGCACACTGCACGGCCTGTATTTGCTCAAACCGGGAGGAAAGACTGGGCTGAAGACTGTCTATGAAACAGGCACAGAAAATGATATTTTCTACTCGCTGCTTCTGGGAATAGCACCATATACATACCATATACCATACAAAGAGGCGTTTGCTACCTCAGAGAGTTTACACTATAAAAACAAGTTGTGTATTAACTGTGTGCCTGTTAACAAGAGAAACGAAAACCTGAAGACTTTTAATGAAGCTAGGGCAACTCTACAGATAAAAGCTCGTATTGTACATTTTGTGAAGAATATAAGAACTTTTTGCAACATAAAAGCATGATCTGTTTTGTACTGTGCAGTGCAACACGTTATACAGTTGCTTATGATTGCATTTAGACCAAGATATGCTTCTGGTCCAATGTTTTATTTAGTTTGTAGCATTTTTTTTAATAGCAAGGTATCATACTTCCCTTGGAAAATTGGAGAGAATAACCTCCAGATCAGCTAGGACTGAGATGAATGTAATTAAAGCTCTTTTACTGAAGACATTAACACCAGATATTCCCTAAAGTACTGACTGTGGAGTTCTACATTGCCATGAGGTGATTTTGCTAAATTTAGATTTGTGTATACACCAAAATAGCATAATTAAATTAAAATACTGGAAGAGTTCCATGTAACATATTTGGTAATGGTTATATCCAGGCTACTGGTCTGTGCGATACCTTGCTGATTTAGAGAAAAACTTTGCATATGCACACAGGCACATTAGTAAGTGAAGCAGAACATGAGCTTGTATTGAAAATGCTGCATGCACACTGGATACACACTTCAGGTTTTCCAGGTCTATAAAATATTCTAAAATGAATTAAATAGATTTTCAAGAATTATGTGATGCAATCATACTGGGGAATTGAAACCCCTTTGTAGTATAGCAGCTAGTTATATGTTGAACATCCTGCAAAATAGGAACCCTGGAAGAGAGTGGCCATAAGCCATGCCATGGACACAGTGCTAAGCAGCATCTTCTTCTCATTTGAAATATGTCCCAGACACAGCCACCCACACGTAAGTACGTGTTGTACCTGTCTAAATATATGCATTTCCTCATTGCTGTTATTTAGAACAGGCATGTGGCTCTGTGTGGAAATGTTCATTTTAGTGTTATTATACACATCACTGCTACACCTAGGATTTGCTTCCAGGAGTTTCTGTTGCGTCTTTATATAAGTAGCAAAGAAACACTTCCTGAAGTAGGGAACCCATGTCAGTACCAGACCCCATACAGGCACAGAGGAAAGAGGCAGTTTTGGACCCAGCAATCACACCGTTGCATGTGTTTGTCAGGAGGCAGCAGCACAGGCTGCAGAGACTGCGTCAGTACCAAGTGCTGCTTGGAGGTGTGCTAACTGACGGGGCTGTCTGAGGATTAGTTTTCAGCAGGCTCCTCAGCACAGGCAGACTTCAAATCCAAATAAAAACAAGCTCAAAAGTCATCTTACTGGCTAATATCTTTGCTCCTCCCCATAGAAAAACCCAACCCAAACCCCTTCACCTGACATCTGGTGGAAACATTGACATCTTCAGAGCCGAGGACAACGTGCCACCACCCTCCCGGCATGGGAACAGCAGCATGCTCTGTACGGACTCGGACACTTCCTATCCAAAAGGGGCCACGGCTGCTTAGCCTGTTGTTAACAGGTACATGTATAATTATGGAAAAGGCAAAACTTTGCAAGGCAAAGTGATTTTGGCTGTGAAGGCTGTACTCATTCCCCTGGGGCTTTCTGACGGGCCAGCATGAGGCTGAGCTACGTGAGGACATACAGCAGGGAGAAGAAGAAGAAAGTTGGCACTTCGGTTACTCTTGTAAAAAGTTGCATATCTAAATCCAGAATATAGGTCTGCATGTATGTATTGGCAGGTCTGCGAGTGCTGAGCTGCAGCTTTTTCCCTGTACAATCAGCCTTGTGATTGCTCTTGGACCGTGAGCCACGCGGAGCTGGGACTGAATCCTGCCAGCCAATTTTCCAGCTCCGTCAGAGCGCTGCCACAGCACAATAAATAATACATAGGGACAGTAGTCTGATCGACTGTGAAGCACAGAGGAGACGCACGCTGTCAGGAGAAACTTTTACTAGTTGACAGAAAGTTTGGAAATTCAGGAGGTTGGGGAAATCAGATCTGGAGGGCGGGGGAGCAGATGCGTCTCACAGGGCCTGCCCCATGCTCCATGTGGCACCACCACCAGATGCCTCCAGCTGCTGCTGTAGGCCTCAGTGGCAAGGTCCCTGTCACCTGGAGGCCAAGTGGCCGTGCAGGGCTGCTGGTGAGGAGCACATACCATCAGCCTTAGGCTGTGGGCACCCACGACCACAGCCTGAATGGCACTGACCAAGTTTTCTTCCCGTGTCATGTTCCTGACACACGAGTAGGCCCACTAGGTTGATGTGCTAGGTAGATGGGCCAATTACCAAGCTAAGGCTGGGTATGTTTTCTAAACACATGCTTCTATACAATATTTGTATCTCTGTGAGTTGTGGGAAGAGCGACCGGTCCCATGGCCATCAAAAGGAATTTTGAATAAAAAGGAGCAGAATTTTACCCATTTTTTTCTGCGCTGTCTCCAAAGAAAGGACCACAGCCAAGCACTCCGCTCCTGCTGTGGGCTGGGTCTTTCAAAGAGCACACAAATAGTGCGTGGGCTGAAGTCAGCATCATGCATAAGGAGTGTTTGCAAGCCGAGGAGGACGGAATGTAAATCTGCAAGATAAGAGGCATGACAATTGGGAAGTCCCTAAACAGAAGTTCAGACAATTGGTATTCAAAAGGACCTTCTGCCAGGGAGGAAAAACCCTGGACTGCATACAGGAGAACATGCCCTTCAGGTGAAATTGGGTGTAAGTGGATTTAGACCATCTTCTGGCTTTGGCCCTTGTTAGAGAGCACTTCTTTTACTCTCTGCCTTCTCCTGCGAGGGTCTATTACCCAGTTTAGTGCTCTTGAGCCTCCTCGATAAACACAAGATATTGCTGTAGCATTTCAGTCTCCTGCACACCTCACACACATAAAAGTGCCTGCTCCTTTCACGATGGCATGAGAATCTCCATTTATGAGTATATAAATGAAAGAACCTTGCTCACTTGTTTGAAGAGATGAGCCTAACACTGTATGCATTCAGTATCTAATGTATCCTTTGGGTGCTCACTTGCTCTGTGCATTGCCTGGCGCTTAGGCCTGAACTAGAGCCCCTCAGTCCTAGCAAAATGTGCTTTTTTTATGTATCAGGTAGACAGAAACTTTGCAATTTTCCTACTGAAACCATGTGAAAAAGTCGAGAGACAGCTGATGGTTGTTCATGTCAAAACAAACACTGTTATGCAGAACACAATACATTTCCTTTGAAACATACAGGAAAGTGATATTAATTACCTCACCAATTCTGTAGGTATCTGGTTCCTTGGTTTTGATCTGGAGCTATTCTGCTTCTGTTCAACTCATTGATTCAAAACATCAGGGTTAAGAAAACTCTGGAGAGCAAACAAGGAAATCCTCACTATCCCTTTTGTAATGTAAGCTTAGTTTTTTCTTTCCTTTCTTCTAAAAAAAAAAAAGAAAAAAAAATAAGAAGAAATGTAAATCTCTTTTATCAGTTTGATTAAGGAAGAGTGAAAGGACTCTGTGCATTCACATTGGTGTAACTACTGCTGTTTTTAAATGCTCTTATCTTGTCTAATCATCCTCCCAAAATATATATTCACATTAATCAGTGTTTTACAGTACCCCAAAGCTTACTCTCTGTGAAGTATGAAAAGAAATATGGGACACTTTCTTTGCTGTCTCCCACGGGTGTCTAATAAAGTAAATCGAGAAACCAATTTTCTCCTCCATTAGGTGCCCCAAAGACAGTTTAAGAGGATCTGTGGTCTTAGATTATATTTACACTCAATGTCCCTTTTACAGTTGTATGGCTTTAAAAAATAATTTTTAAAAACTTAATTTGAAAACACGAATATATTCAAATGATTTAATTGCATGGTGAAGGTATGGGAAGGGATAAATCAACTTGGGGACAGCAAAGGACAAAGGAGTAGCTGAAAGGTCATTAGCTCTCCGTTGCTATCATGTCTCCCTTAATTTGCAATATGCAAGTGGCAAATCTAGGCATAATACTGCAACTGCTAAACCCTGTCACCTGGGGATAGATCCCCACAATTCTGGGCAACCTGAATGGCAGGGACCTCGTGTTGGAGACCTGTCCCAAGTCATGGTGGCCCTCCAGAATGTGCACCTGTGTTTCTACCGCTGGAAGTAAAAGCTTGGTTAATTGGTTAATTTTTGACTTTGTAAATTGTCTGTACAGAGTCAGTGTCCCCAGCTGGGTGTGGGAGCTTGGCGGCTGTCAGGTCTCTCAGGTTAGAAGCATGTACGCATGCTGCAATGCCTGCAAAAACACACTTTTTCATAACTTCGCTGTTTCTTGAAGCATAATACAGAAACGTGTATGATGTTAAGTCTGCATAACACATATAATGTACAAATTAGAAATGAAAAAGAAAAGAAAAGCATTGAGACCTGCAAGGTTTATGTTACAGTGCAGAGGCTGGGTGGAGTACAAGGGAATTGCTGGGACATCCTTGAAACTCCAGTGACCTCCAGGTACAAGATGGGGCTCTCAGAGGCTGCTGCCATTGTCAGAAACTATTTGGCTCACCTAGTCTGTATCTGAGGCCTGGGGACACTAAAGCATATGACTTTGTACCCAGCTCTCAGGTTTTGCTTCCTGGCTGCTTGTCAGCATCTGGGCATTTGCTTCAAAAGGTAACACAAGAAGCTAAGGAAGCTGCTGCTAACAGACCCAGACAGTTCAATGCTAGTGAAGTGCTACTACACCTGATTTTCAAGATCACATAGTGAGCAACTACATTTTGCATGCACGTAACGGAAGATGCTGAAGATCTGTTTCTAGGAAAAGAACAAACTTATTAGATGATCAAGGGGAGCTACACTAGAGAACTGATCAGGGAAAATCTCAAAGAACAGTGTAAATCCATTAAGCTGGTAATTGCCTGTACATGATAACCTTATTTTAGATACTACACTTTTCTTGTAGAAATACTAACACAGCACTATAAAATTTAGGGCTTCTTTTCATGTCTGCCACATCCCAGTGGGATCTCAGCCTGAAATACTGCTCCGAGGGATACAGCACATAATCAGTCCCTTTGAAACAGCGTCAGTAATGCTGAATCCATATAAGTGCGGATGCCAATTATGCTAATGGAACTGCAGTGGGACTGCATTTCTAGCCATCTCCTAACAGTGCTCTAAAAGTATTGTCACACTCAGCAACTAAATTTTTGTAGCATGCGACCACAGAGATGGCTGTCCTGAAACTTACTGTGTGCTGGAGGTGAGGCCAAATGTTCACAAAATGAACATTTGTGAACATTCCACTGCTAAAGGAATCAACAGGTAACTGAAGCAAATCTGGGAATTTTTCCCTATATTCACTTTTTCCAGTTTTTGTGGCATCTCCAAAAGATGCAAGGCTAATGCAGACAGTGTCTATGACTTCCTTGTTTCTTGCTCCTTGCTTCCTTCCAGGGCAATGCTCCATCCTGAGCACAAGGCAACCACTGTGTTTTAGATTTTGGCTGTTTTAGTCATGCTGTGGCACTGGGAAACCATAACATGCTAGCAAAAGTTCAGGATGCCCCTGTGAAAAAATAAGGCACATCTTTCACATCTTGTCTTCCCTTCTTCTTTGGGACCGAGAAGATCTTATTAAGAAATATGGCATTGCTTCCTTGGCTAGGCGTTGCTTTAGGCTCAGGCAGGACCAGCCAGGTGAGGCTTCTCTTTTCCTCTCGAGCCCTCTCACACAGGGGCTCCTGTGGCAAGGATAACTCCTCACCCCAGGTGAAAGGTGAGGATTGCAGTGGCTACAGATCAAAGTACCCCCTTTCAATTCCCTCTGACTAGAAGCTGCACATACTTTCTGTAGGCATAGCTCCAAAATAAATGCCTCAATAAGGAGGCCAAGTAGCTTTAAAGACTTAAAATTCAACAGTGAGTAGTAGCATATGGCCTCAGTGCTTCACCTCATTTCATGATTTCAATTCAGATTTGCATATTAGATGGACGATGTAAATTCTTGCCTAAATGCTATGCACACATGTGCCTGCTGAGAGTTTAGTTTCTCCATGAACCCTTCAGAAATGTCTTTACAGCCAGGAAATGTTATAATCATCCCTGCAGTACATCACGGGCCAAGGATAACAAAACAGCTGATGTGAACAACACTAGTAGGGCTACTATAAAATCCTGCCAAGGACACCTTTAGGGTGCAGTGTGAGTGATTAATATAGGCCATGAGGAGACACTGAGAGGGATATGGATTCATCAGGAGTAAAAGTTCTCACCCTTGTTTAGTCAGGAAAAGAGAAAATGGCAATGCAAGATTGATCAGTCCTCACATCATTCGATCATTATTTCTTGTGTCAGCATGTGGAGGGGTGGAAAGTCCTCCTTCACAAGTTTTTTCCACATTACATGCTAGCAGCATCACTACAGTCGCAGGGTTTCAGCAGCCTTCCCTCAGCTCTTGCACACTCACCATTGCAGCAAATGGATTTGTCTTCAATTTATAGGCCACGACAACCGCAATCAACACTCTTTTTGTAAATCCAGCAGCAGTGTACAGGTGTTAATCTTTGGTTTTGTTTTAAAAACAGTAAGGTGTTGTCATGCTTTCCCATCTTCTCAGCTGCTTTTGACGGGGAGTCTTGCAAACCACACTAATTCCGCGGTATGTGATGGATGCTTGGAATTAATGTGGTACTTAACGGCTGGCAGCCTTCCTGTGGGCAGACCTCATCCTCCATCATGCCTGTAAATCCATGCTGATATTCCTCCCTTGTTTCACAGGGCACTGGTTCAAGGGCAGAAGCAGCCTCTAGTGGGGGTGGTCCCTGAGCTGACAGCCCCACTGTCACCCGCTCTGCCCCGCTCCGCACACTGTAGGGCTGTTCACGAAGCAGTTCCTAAACCTTTGCCATTTACAGCCTTGCATACCTCACAAGTGTCAAAATGAGGTGGAGGCATTCATCCTATCAGGTGTCCTGAGGTTTACTGTGTCTGTTCTTGAGTCAGAGCCCAGAGATGTGCCACGGTCATTAGGCTGCTCAGATGCTCCAAACGCAAAATACTTCCCAAAATAAGGCTTCCAAATACTGACATCACCACATAGCATTGACAAGGTTCAGAAAAACTAGCATTTATTTTTCTTAATTAAAAAAAATAAAATAAAATTGCTTAACCGGTTCTATATTATTATTTCTCTCTTATGTACAGCTCTATCCTAATCCCAAAAAGGATTTACTTAGAAAAAGGACCTGCCTTCTGTACCCCAGGTGGCATTGCCTTTGACTACAGAGCAAGGAGGCAAACAGCTGTCAGTGCCTGAGGGAGTGCTTGGAAGGAAATGCCTCGTCTGGGAGAAGAGGAACAAGGACCTGACATCCCATCATAACAAGGCAGACCCTTTCCTCTGCATTTCATTGTAGGCTTCAGCTTCCCTTCCTCATCCCCACACCGGCACCAGATATAGTATGAGAAGTTGCACAAGCATGCGTGGGCTTGAGGTGTCCACCAAACAGCGGAGCAGGTGAGAAGCATTAAAATGCTTCTGAAGATCATGCAGGTTCTATGTGCAATCGGAACTGTTGGTAGGAAATCATGAGATACATGTACATACGTTGGATAAAATGCCCTCAGGAAACACTCATACACTATACCTGGAGTTGCAAAGATGCAAAGAATGTAGAAATACACATGCGGGAGGAAGGAACAAAGGTGTATGGAAAACTCAACAATTTTAAGTCATTTGCCAATACACTATGGTATTTGTAGACTGAGTTATCGGCTTCGTCATTCCTTCCTTGCTACTCACTGCTGCCACCACGTGTTACTACAAATTCTTGACGACAAAATCGTGCCCCTTGTGCTGCTGGGGCTGGCAAGGACCTGAAGACTGGGACGACACTGCCCAAGAGAAAAGCTGGGACATGGGAAAGCCATTCCTTAGAAGATTGGGCATTACTGGAAGCAGTACAGCAAACTTGAGAAGAGGCCCCTGTAAGCAAATGCATTGGATTTGGATTTGAGGAGTCATGCTATTTGATCGCAATAGAGGTTGTGGGTGTGCATTAGGAAGTGTTTGAATACCACAAGTATGCACACCGACATTCTCTCTCTCTCCGTGCCTTCCTCTTTCACTCAGATCTTTTGTCATTCTTTTAGGGAATGACAGATACATTGGGCAGTTCTCAAGTAGTGGTGGAGATGGACTTTTCAGTTCTTCTTGAGGTAGCTGCCTTGAAGTGGCCAGAAACATAATAACGAACAAATGTAGACTGCACTTAGGGAAGCAGTTTCCTCCTATTCTTGTGATCTGGTAGCGTGCCTGTTCCCTAAGGAACGAAAGCCAGTCTTCCAGTTTTGGCTTATACCCACCGATTGTGGATATTTTTATTGTCAGTATGCATGACTAATTAAGAGGTTTTTAGCATTTGCTGTGTCTCCATGATATTAAACGGGGGTATTTCCACCAGTGTCATTACACACGGTATTAAAAACAATCGAGGTTCTGGACCCAGCAGGACAGCAAATTGTTGTAAGCTAAACTTCCCCAAGCACTCCTTGATTCTCTGCTAAATTTATTTCCTTTTAAATAACTCTTCAAGAATGACATTTAAGGGACAATCTGTTGATAGCTAATCACAAGCTTACAGGATGTTGTTTCAATGGGCTATCTCGATAGGAGAGTAAAGGTTCATGCAACAGTTTGCTGGCTTATGGTTCTGCTCAGGGAAACACGGAGCATATGCATGGCTTAGCTGCTGTCTTTTCCCTCTGTCTTGCAAGGTCTGCAAGCACACGCCTAGGTATAGATGCAGTGTTACTAGTTCTCACTTTGTTTAATGTGTTACCAGCACGTACTTCTGGGCCAAGGCATGATTTCAGAGTATCAGCTTTCTTTTAAGACACAAAAACAAGTTTAGTTTCCAGCTTTCATAACAGAGAGATTCCAAAGAATTTTCTGCAGATAAATCCGTCTCCAAGCCAAGAATAATGCAGAAGGTGCGCATTAAATCACAGGACACTTTAGTCACTCACTTTCTCTAAGGGGACGCTTATACGTCTGACACTGCTGAAAGTTTGTCTGAAGTGAGTGGTCCTCTACACACACATGCTTACAATCAAAGCTGTGCTTATAGACCCTGCTGAATCAGCTTGCTGGGAAATGACAGGGAAATAATGCCAGTCAGGGCCTTGACAAACAGGAGAGAAAATGGGAAAGACACAGATATAAGAGCCCGATCTTTCTTTCCATAATATTTAGCCTATTTAGGAATTACACGTGCTTTTGCACATTCTTAATTCCAGTGCCTATAATGAGGATTTGGAGAAAACAAAGACAACGTCTTCACAGCATCTTCATAGTGGTGCAAGGCAAGGGAACAAGAGAGAACAGACATGGCTTGAAAGAGAAGATGCCCAGACTAGGTAACTGGAGACAACATGAGGGCAATTAAGCTTGTGAAGACACTGCCCCAAAAGGTAAAGGTTGTACCTTGGAGGTTTCCAAAACCTTACGGGATAAAGTCCTAAGCACTATGGTGTGCTCCCATAGCTGACCCCGCTTCGGGAGAAGGTTGGGCAGGGGCCCTCCTGAGGTCCTTTGCCACTTAGGTTGCCCTATGATGCTGTGATGCTGTGCACTAAAATGACAGCAATAGCAGACTTGCTTTCTGTCGTAATTAAATCCACTGCGGTTACAGAACCCAGTGGTTATGTAAAACTTCAGTAGTGTTGAAAATTAACCATTATATACCAATGTCAAAGCCAATATGTTAATCAACAGGGAGGGTAAAAGTAGCTGGTCTGTGTTTTCAGAGTCAGTTTTCCAAGAAGCATTAAAAAATGCAGGACTCACAATTTATCCTGTGGGGCAGAAACACTTCTGTTTGCGGGAGGAGAGAACAGGAGCTCTGGCTTGATTTGGTGTCTGTGTAATGCTAGTGTAGGCATCACCTGTGTGATCATTTTGTGTCCTACTGAGATGTTTCAAAAAATTTGGAAAGAACAAGGCCATTTCCACAACTGGACATCGGTCTCTCCAGTGGAATGGAGTTGGTTATTTGGAGCCCTAAAACTTTCCACTGCCAGCCTTCCAGATGACATACTTTTCATACGTGCCTCAGTTTTGGGCCTGATGTCAGACGGCAAGCAGTCTGTCCCAGACTGCCTCCTATACATGTAATTAATATTCCATTTTCTTCTGTTCTTTCTTCTATTTCCACTTCATCACAAAGTGGCTCTTTATAACTTACTTTCCTACTGCTTGCTGCCCAGCTGCTGTCTTTAGTGAAGCAAGAAGGGACGTGAATGCACACACCAGGAGTGTCCTGTCATTAGAAAAATGAGATCGCCTTTGATTTCAGTTCTCAAGAATAGTGACAGTAAAGCACTAAGTCCAAACAATGGAATCACGACTTTTTCTACTACAAGGATAAGAAGGAGGAGAATTAGGTCCTCAGTTTTGTGCTGTTCTCCCTGAGTCTTGGTTAAGGTTGTATGTCATTACTACGATGCTGTGGTGACTTATATTCTCCTGTGTTTGGCAGAGGTAAATGCTCGTGGCTCCTCTAATTTACTTCAAAGCTGATGTGGGTGTCCTGAACGCCCTATAATTTTGAAACAACCAGTGTTGCCTTGTTGAAGCTGTCACTATTGCATCTGACAGCAAACAGAGAAAGAAAAAAGTATTTTGAAAGATGTGAAGGGATTCAAATAAGTTTAGAAAGATAAATAAAGGAAACATTTCTTTAACAGGGTAATCCATATGAGATTTTCCTACCAAGTACAAAAGGATCTACATCAGCTACCTCCAGGGCAAGTCTAAAAAATATTGCAAATGATTTAGGCAGTCATTAAATATGACCTTTGTTCTTGGCAGCAGCACAAGGAAAGCAAGAAATAATTAAGCAAGCGATTGTTGAAAGCACTACTGACCGATTTCAACACTGAGTTTGTTTTCTGCTGTGAGATGTTTTTGCCTCTCATTGTTTCATTTTCCCATGTTGAAAGGAAGACACAAATTTCATTTTAGCGTCTACAAATCTAGTTATGATAATTAGCATTATGCATTTAGAATCGGCATCAATTATTTTCATACATACTATAGCATCTAGAACTACTGTTTATATTTTTGTGTTTCTGGGTTATAAATTTTTTAGCACTTTTCTGGAATCTGCTGAGTAAGGAACTGCGTATTGCTGAGTTCAGGAAAAATGGCAACAACGGGCCAGATACTCCTTCAAGGCATAAGAAAAGAGCAAGAAAAGGCTTTCTGTTCTTTGTCCCTTCATCTCACTGAGCAGAACCAAAACAACATAACTTCTCCAAGAGTGGCATTGGACATCAGCCCTGACTACCAACAGGTGCAAAGAAGTCTTTCCAAAATCCCTAAATATGTAGCTACCAAATGCCTCCCGATTGTCATGAAATGAGGCAGCTCAGCACTTGGAAAATTACTGCAATCCAACTAAGCAATAAGTACCACTTCCAGCAAAGGAAGACTAAGATATTAGGAGAAAAAGGTTTAACAGTAAGGGCTAGTTGAGGACAGGACTAGGTGGCCTGGAGGGGCTGTGCACTTACTGCCAGAGTGGCCTTGACATCTGCCAGATGTGGGATCGGTCTGGTTGGCTCTGCCATGAAGCAAAAGGATGGACTAGATGAGCTCCTGGACTCTCACCTAGTCCTGCTTGCTGTGGCTCTGTGGTTCATGATGCTGGAAAGCCCTTCTGAAATTATTTCAACAACATTAGTTCCAATATCAGTCATTTTATTCACAGGATACATGAGTATGGATGGATAGAAGTTCTCTAGGACTGAGGAGTGGAGAATCGCATCTGTCATTTTAATGTTTCTGAGTAAAAACACTGTGCAGTGGTCTGACTCAAAAACATTTGTTAATTATCAAGAGCCAAGTTAGTAGAAAGCATCTGTTTTATTTTAATGTTTTGAAGGTTAGAGGCTAGATGATTCACAGTAGCTTCACTTCTGCGGTTTGAAGGGTTAGCGTGAGGTTAGCTTATGCCAAAAAAAAAAAAAAAAAAAAAAAAAAAAAAAAAAAAAAAAAGCTTATTATTTTTTTCTTAATATAATATTAAGAGAACAGTTTTTATAAACCTTGAATGAACTCTCCCCCATTATTTCTCAATGTGTAGCCCTATATAACTTGTCGTTATGCTAGTCAAATTATAAAATTAAACCAATTAGAAACAAGTTAAATAATTGATGCAGTTTAATAGTCCATGTAACTAATGTCAGCGGTAAGCAAATAACTTTAATAGTAATAAATAGATCTAATACTGACATTGCATCGTGATGAGGCCAGCTTTTAGAAACAGATGCAGATTTGCTTAAAAAAAGTAGTTTAACCTTAGCAGTGAGTAAAATTTCCAAGCCAGCTAGAGAAGATGGGCAGGAAGTTATATTCCCAGATGTCTATGTCATTTTGTAAAGTGGAACCCGTGCCTGGCACGCAAGGGAATACTGTACCAGCATCAAAGCATGAATATAAACCAGTAGCAGTTGGAAGGGAATGCAGAGGTATATGTGCATGTACTGATCTGGGGCTTTCTTTGGTCGTTCAGCTATATGAAGAGAAGAACTTGAAATCGCATCTAGTCCTGGGGATAACTGTTCTACGTGTTGCTGATATTCCCCTGGATACCCAGCCTAACCTACTTCACTGGACCACTTACTTTTGTATGTTCTCCTTGAGGGAAGTCCTCTGCCACCCTCACAGGGTTTCAGTTTCATATGCCTCCACCTTCCTCAAGATATGCCTGTTTAAATAAGAAAACTTTTGTGCATTTCCATCTAACCAAAAATAAAGATCTCTTATCTTCCTTCCTACAGAGCACTTTAAATACTATGTCCCAGCCCAGCGTTTATTTATAAAGCCAAAACCTACTGACATAGCTTATGGGCCTCTCCCCTTCTCCTGGGGGAGACTTTCTCTGAGGATGCACTAAGGCCAGCTGGGTGCTCCCACGTTACTGTATGCCCTCCTGGAAGAGAACAGACACCAACAGTGGGCAAACGATGATGCAGAAAGAGCACTTGTGTTCCCCAAAGCTGCATAGCCCTGTACTCATACCTCCATGCCCAAGGCTTCCTTCATGGGTTGTCCTTTGCAGGAGGTCTGGCCCACCACTTCTGTTCTGTCCCTCCCTTGGCCTGATCTCTATTTGGATACCATCTACCCCTCCCTGCTTCTCCCCTCTGAGGGGGCTGGAGTCATTATGTCCCATCTTTCCGCATTTTTTGATTCTGTGCCCTGCCAACACTCTTTCCTGCAAATGGTTGGTATTTGCAGATTGATTTTTCCTCAGCATATTGAAAGAGCTGCTAGCCTTGTGGAAGACATCAGCTCAGAACAGAAGAACATCTGATAAAATGCACTATTAAGTCCATTAAGCTTCCATCATGGTTTGTTCTCTGTCGTTAATAAGGTTGTTATGGCATCTCATGTTTATCATCACACTCTAGAAAGACCTGTCTGGAAGCACTTAATGTTTTTACAGCTCATCTCTACGATTATTTTTTTTTAAACCATATTTATCAGATATTCAATCCTAGTATTTATTTTAGTGCAAGGAAAGGGTCCTCATCACGATTTCCCAAAGGATAAGTGTAAGAATAAAAGTTGGATGTCAAAGGATATTCACCTCTAGCTACTAGGGAGCAAGCAGGATTTATTCTGTTATTAAGTTGGATTTTCTGATTCTTGAGCTAATGACAAGACTATCAGATCCTGTCGCTCACCAGAAGCTATAATTAGAGACAAAATCTAGGTGAGGCCATTTCTATTATTCCATATTGGTGTAAGGTAGTGTTTGTACTCTGAAATAATTCTCATTTCATTTCTATAGGATTTCAATATCTTTGCCTCAATGCAAAATGTATTATATCCATTCACGGAATACCTTAGTAATTATGTTCTTGTAGCTTAACACAGAATCATCCACTTAAAATAAAATAAAATTAAATAAAAAAAAAAGCTAAAATAATGAATAAGAAAGGATAATTCAAGTTACATGTTTTGTTTCTTACTACTCTGGCATCCTTCCTTCTACTCTCTTCAGTTTAAGTGACTTGACTTCCTAAGCCAAGTCTTTAGCTAAAGTAGTGCTCTAATTTTAGATTTATCATATGGCTTACAAGACATTTTCTTTCTGTGATCCTGCAGTGTGGTTTCCATACAGTCATTCTTGTGTTGGGGGTCAGAAGAAGAAAGAACATTTAGACTCCTTTTCTAATTCATCCTGTGTATATTCACAAGGAATTTAGTTCCAAAAAAGCTCTAAATAATAAAATGTATGGCCTCACGACATGCTGCAAAGTGCTCATTATTTTGCTATCCTAATACACTCTGACTGCTTTTGCAAACAGATGCTCCAAATACTGGTCTTAATTAAATATCAAGGGCTGGATTCAAATGTTGGTCCATGCCAGCAGAAGATAGCACAAATCTTGGCACCAGGCCCCAGTCCAACAAAAGGATGGTTGTGAATGCTTGAAACACTTGCAGGCTCCCCTCTCTCATGGGCAGACTTGCCAGACATCAGGATATGATGCAAGCAGCCTGGATTTTGGGGTGTTTCTCAGTTGTCAGGGTGGTAGTGCCATCCAGATTGACAGCATGGCTTTGGACAGGGGACATTTTGCACTCCACTTAGGCTGGAGAGAGCTGCTTGGTCATATTCTTAACAGTCACCAGTACAAATCCTTTGGATCTTTTAGTAAATAGAGGGAAAAAAAAAAAAAAAAAAAAAAAAAAAAAAAAAAAGGGAGAGAAAAAAAAAAGAGAGGAAAAAAAAAGCAGCTGGAGGAGGTGGAGGAGGATCTATGAACTGAGCTTTCATTTAATGCCTCTCTTTCTCATCACCTTATGGGAATTTTTGTGTTTAATAATGGATGTGCAATAATTTTTAGGTAATAATGGAGATGGTAAAAGATTTATTTTGGGGATAGGGAATGGTTTTAATGCCCAGATTTTGGTGTTCAGTCTTGTCAATAAGAGGAGGAAGGAAATGTAAAGCACAGGTAGCAAAAGGACATTTCCTCTGAGCTGATGATTTTTAAACCACACTGACACTACACAGCACAACCTCTCTCGAGAAGACCAAGTAGCTTTGGAGACCACTGTGACTGTGCAGCCTTACTGATCTGGTGCCAGAGGTATCAGAGATTTCCAAACAGCCCCACACTGTTAGCATTTACCTGCAGTGCTGGGGGTGAATAAAAAATCAGTTTAGTCAAAATTCCAGGACGTAACAAGAAGGACAAGGACATAACACAGTTGGATCACCCATTGTATTATAACCACAAATGTATACTAATTTGGCTGAAGCAGAGATAAAAATAATAATAACTAAAATTATTATTATTGTTGTTGCTGTTGTTATTATTATTTTAGATCATTTCTTCTCATGGGTTTACAGCTCTGTTGGAAAAAGATCTTAGGCAGCTAGGCTAAACCCTTTAAGCAAGATGCACACACAAAATGAGAACAGAAAAGGAGCAGGAAATGAAAATAAACAATGGAGAAAGAGGCAGAAACTTGATTTTGCTAGTTGTGTTGGTTCCCTTCTCTAGCTCACCGGTCAAGTTATTTCTTTGGATTACATGGACACCTTGGGCTCAAAGTCATCGGTAGCCTGGGGCTCAGGAGCTAATAGACCCAGAAACTTCCAAGGCTGCTCGTTCCCCCAGCCTGTGTCAGACTCTTAACCCCTCCAAGGTCTATTACATCTACATTCCACCACACACATTTTAGTGAACTGATTAACATGAAATGCTTTTTTTTTTAATTTAAAATTCATAGTGTTCCCACTGTCCTTTGTGTAGTGTGAGGTTGGGTTTTATTTCTTTTTAGCTTTGCTGTCTTCTATGCATAAATTTGCAGAGCAAACTGATGCAAGGTTTTGTTTGCTTTGTAGGCCTATATCCAAAGCTGGGACCCCGCAGTCTCCCACCTGCCTTTCCTTATCAGGTACAGACACAACTTCTAGAGCAGACACACCCACGTGGTGCCTCTTCTCCCCTCACCAGAGAGTCTTAGAGGAAAGCTCCCAGGAGGTGCCAGCTGGTTACAGCAGCTCAAGCAAGGTGTTTGGGATGCTCAGAGAACATTTTACTTCTGTATCCCTCTTTCTGCTGTGCTGACAGGTTCTGGTACTGCCTCTCTAGTGACTGCTTCACTTCTGTATCTGTTCTTTTCCCGTATTTCCTCTTTTCCATTCAGGCATCCTCATTTCACAACTTTCTTTCTGTTTATCCGTTTTTCTCCTAATTCAACCCTTCACAAAGGAGAGAGGAAGAACACCAGTGGAGCAACCATCCTATTTTTTTCCATCATCCCAGTGAACTTCATTGCTTATCCATTCTACCCCTTTCCTTACCCCATTTATGTCTCACCTACCTCCATTTCAAGCAGTGTACAAAGCCCACAAATTTTCATTTACACAAGGATGCCTCACTCTTACTTGGTCCATAGCCAGCATTAGAATGAGCACGCTTAACCCTGACACGTAGACTCTAACAAAGCAAGACCAGCACCTGAGGGTTTCAAGATATTATAAAGAGAACTTGTGTTCTAACCCCAATTTTACTTTATTAGCTCCTTAGTTTCAGGCATGGGGAAAAATCTTCAGGATGCAAGGCTGGGTATTTTCTTGCTGCAAAATTTGCACTGATCCAGTCCCCTTGTGCAGGAGCATTCACAAAAGGC